TGGAACGAAACTCCATAGATTCTGAACTTAGGAAATCAAATTCGTAGCTGAGAAGGTGCGACCAGTTTCCACAATTGCATGCACATTAAAGTCCGCTTCATATTTTCTCGACCATCCTCAAAGCTGCTTGCTATTTACCAAACGCTCGCGGATTTATAGCTATTCCTCAATGATTTCCAGTTGATTTTGTGTCCTCATTGACTAACGCCTAACTCAATTCAACTGGTAGGGATATTAACGGTTAATTTTGCAATTCTTGGTTCCAATGTTAATTTTGTGCCCTTTTTTTCTTCTCCTCATGAATTTTGGAGTCTCTTTCCAAAACACTAGAGGGGGAGGAGGTAGTGTTGCAAATGAGTTAAGTTTTGCTCAATCGAGTTAAGTCTTGACTCAATTTTATCAAACTCGAACTCGACGAACTTTCAATGTAAAATTTGAGTTCGACCTCAAATTCGAGTTTAGTCAAATTCAAGTTCGATCCTACTTGAGCTTAAAAAAATAACAAATAATTATTTTATTTTAAAAATAAATAAAATAGTAATTTTTTCTTAACAAATAATAAAATATTAAAAATATATATGTAATTTTACTCTATATATACATACATATATATATATATTCAAATGATTCGCGATTTAACGAGTTAAGTTTTTTTGCGGTTGACCTTGAATCCGATTCGAGTTCGATGTTAACTGAACTCAAATTAAGTTTTGATCAAATCGAATCAAGAGCGCTCGCGAGCGGTTTGATTGGTTTGCGGCCTTGGAGAGAGAGAGGAAAGTTGAAAACCTACTCCATAGCGGGCAGCTCATAAGTCTAAAACCTCTGAGGATGCGCAGCAACCAGAGGTTGAAAGTAAGCCAGAAACAAGCCTGCCATAATTTTGGGTCCAGCTTCAAATTTCTAGGCCTCCAACATATTTTATGGCTAGTAAAAGACTGGAAGTTGAAAACTGTAAACGTTTCATTTTAAAAGGTCAAGAACAAAATCACAAAATTAATGGCAACGTTTGGATGGATGTCTAGAACTTGATTTTTCTGTGCAGAAAATTAGAAATGAGATTAGCCCTGATATGATACCACACACCAGGATAGATACATGATTGATTCCCAAACAAAGAATCTGAGGTTTTCTAAATTACAAGGAAATTTATCCCAAAAAAATTACAAGGAAAATGCCATAATGCCTCACGCTGCATAAAGAAGTAAATAAACAATTAATTAGCAGATTTGGAGAAATAATGATCCAAATTGAATCAGATTTTTTTTCGCTAAAAAACCAATGAAGGTTATGAGTTGTACAAATATTTAAATTATTGACTAGTATACTTAGTATTAGCTTGCAATGGATCTTCTGTCCCATTTTTTTGTACCATTCTCTATCCCACTTTTTATTATATTATTATTTCTCCTTCATAAACATCATGCTTTATTTCTTTTTTGTTTCCTTAATATCCAATAGCTATTAACTAAGTAATGCACAAAATTTAACAAATTCAAAAAACCAAAATGCATAAAAAATGAGATTTTTTCTACTGTATTTTTAAATTTTCTATTATATATTGCTTTTTGAGGCTGTTGTATTTATTTTTAACTATGTTAATAGTTATTGGATTTTAAGGGAAAAAAATGAAATAAAACATGATATTTATGAAGGAGAAATAGCAATATAATAAAAATGGGACAGAAAGTGACACAGGAAATGGGATAGAAAATCAATTGCGATCCCCAACGCATGAAGTAGGAAGTAACGTTTTTCTTTTCTTTCTTTTTTGGTAAAAAGGTAAAGATACAACTATAATAGAATTAAAAATTGCAAGATTAATATGACTTTTGTACACTTCGTTTTTGGGCTATATATATATATATATATAAAATAAGTAAAAAGTTTTGAATTTAGAATTTTCTCCGTACAATTCCTCCCCCTTACTATCCAACCTGACTCTCCCACGGCCGGACAAAATGTTCATCGTTTCTATACATAATACCAAACTAATGCTAAGCCGGGACAACACAAGCAGAGAGAATCAACCCTTTTTTATATAGTAATTAGAAAAAAAAACATTCTTCTTGATAGAAGTATCAGATGTTAACAATAGGATTATCTTTTGTGTTTAAAAATAACTTGCGTGGTGTTGGTATGTGGCCGGGCAGCCGACAATTATTTGTAAACTCGAACTTATTTATTGAATTCCGAGAGACTGATGCTTCGTGATTTAGATTTACTCAATTAACTTAGTACGCAATTATTACATTCTGATGTGGTTTACATATTAAATGTTTGAAATCCAATCCTAATAACTTTTCCAATTTTTTAATGGAAATTATCAACATAGCGGTCAAACCACGTTTGTCGCTAATTGAGTCACGTGCCTTTCATGTTACAGTTAATTATGTTCAAGTGGGATGTCAATTTATATAAGCACACGTTAGGTGCGTTTGATAAAATTGAAATTGCAAAATTTGAATCCATTCTGAATTGTTAAGTATTAAAAAATTTAATATATTTGAGTGTATATCATATTAAGTGATAAGTGAATATATTTATTACTTAGTTTTTGGAATAAATTTGACCTAGAGAATTCAGTGTTACATTAATTCAGATGTTCTATTTTTGATTAACAAATACTTTTAAATAAGATTTGAAATTTAAGTATTGGATTATCAAACAAGGCTTTTGTGTTCATCAACTTTTTTTTTAATGAACGTCATAATTTCATTAATATCCGCTTTTGTGTTTATCAAACAAGACTTTTGTGTTCATCAACTTTTTTTTTAATGAACATCATAATTTCATTAATATCCGCACTAATGGCCAAAGTTACATCATGAATCATACACAGATAACAAAGAACATATCTAAGAAGATTTTTATTACTTCTTTATGGATTATTTTTTGTCTTCATCAACTAGCACCATAAAACTTAATCATTTCCCTAATACACAAGTAAGAATTGAGAACAAAAACATTTATGTGATTAAAGTTAAGGTTTTTTCAGTTTACTTGAGAAATTTGTTTTATATTGAGGCGTGCAATTGCCGGATGTAAACAGACACATTTGGACGTGGATGATGACGAAAAGTTTGGTGATAAAATGATAATGATCACCTAAAAAGACAGGCTCTATGATTGTTAACAATGTTAGTTTGGTGCTAACACGATATGACGACTTAGATGGACATTTGCTAGAAAAATAGTACATTATTTGAGAGCATGAATGAGGAGGTACTAGATAGGAATATCATCTCCATCAAGTTGTAGATTGAATTAATTCTCAACATCCAAGCATATGCTACCAAGTTGCATGATTATCATATTGGATTTTCTACACAACTTGCCCCAAAAAATTCAAGTGTTTGGATTCCCACTTTTTTTATGTAAAAATTATTTTATTTGTATCATAAATATAATTTTCAATAATTTTTTTATGTTCAAAATTACTATTTTATCTCACATATATCATATTACAAAAAGTACTGCAATGTTATTTCAAAAAAAAAAAAATTTCCAAACATTCTTATACAATAATCAGTTGGAAATTGGGAGCTATTCAGGTATTCCACTAAATCACCACATAACTTTAGAGTTCAAATTAATCCAAAGACAAATTAGGAATTTGATTTTTTTTTTTTTTTGCCAATTAACTTCTCGAGGGCAACAAAATTTTGGAATACTAGTTCCTAGGTTCCAAGAAAGAAAACTTGGAGAGGTGATATCTTGCAGACAGTAGTACTGAAATCATATCTTTTGTTATTGCCTATTGGTATTATAGTTCCTCGTCAGGGTCTCATCTGTTTACTATTAATTAGATATTTAGTAGCGGTGCAGAAGAGATTTCCAAATAAAACACCAAAAGCATTTGTCAAAGATTTTCCACTGCAGGATATGACTTAAAATCTGGATGCTTCTGAATTGTGATAAATCACATGTATCTTTTAGGCATGCAGTTGTGGACGGTAAAAAAAAAAATGTCTCATCGTCAGATAATTAAACAATCTGCAAAGCAAAATAATTGCAGATGACATCTATACATCCTGAGATCAAATCAGAAGCAAGTACTAATTACCACACTTAAAGTTGTAAATCCATTATGAGGACCTCTATTTCTATTATTCGATACAGCAAATAATTAAGTTTTCGAATATTAAAGACAGGTTAGAGAAGGACAAAGATTTAGAAAAGATAGGTAGCCTCACGATATAATTTCAACAACCCTAGCAATCCACAAACCACTATGTGCATGCTCAAAAAGATGGTAGCCTAAAGATCGATGCTTTGAACAAAATCATACCGACATCTTTGAGCCAAAAATGCTACCCCAAGAAAATAAGGGATTTCTCTAGCATAGAAGAAGTGTGGATTTGCTTGAAACATTAGTGTTGTTGACATGTTGTTCCCATAGGAGGGCTGTTGCATATATAGATTTCCTGACCAATGTCCATCTTCAAATTCCGCGACAGGAGATTATTTGGAAAAAATAATTTTGAAATAATTTTGTGATGTAATGTATTTGAAATGAAAAAGGATTTAAAAAAACTTAATTATTATACAAGCGAAAAAAAATGTTTTGCAGATAATCCTCAATCCAACAAATTGCTACGTAGATACGGCCAAATGCAAATAAATTGAAAAAGAAGCACATGATAATCTTTATAAATTGGGAAAATTCATTCCCGAGGCATGATTACATCGAGAATCATCTTAAAAATTACTCGCATATTTAATGAAGTTGCAGTTGCAAATCCGCCTGATGAAAAATTCTCCCGTACGTCTTGATCCGGAATTACAATTGTTTTAGTCCTAATATTTCTTAAGAAAGAAAAACCCCATTTATACGTAAAAAAATGAATTGGAATCCTGATCTAATCCATCATGGTTAAAGGAACCATAACCATAAGTAAACTACTAATGGAAAAAAAATTCACAAATATATGTTATGTACAAAAGCTCCGGTAAGGTTGAAGGGAAAGAGACAACTCAATTTTCACACATTTTCACATAGGCACAAAGGATATACAATCTATTTAATATATGAGTATTGGCCAAATAATATTGGAGCCTAAGTGACTAATTAACTGAGTTGTCTAGCAAGCTGCAGAGGGATGATTGGCAAAGGGGCTATAATAGCGAGGCTTCGCTCCGATGGAGAAAGAAATTTTAGAAGACTTCTCACCAACATGACCACCACTGCTTATCCTCTCACAAGATGGGCACATGCTAAGAGTGGCTGCCGGTATCTGCATGTACAACGGCGGTGGCGCCGCCAGCTTCATTGCTTTTAGCTCTTGCAATTCTTTGTTTAGTCTTCTATTCTCTTCTTTTAGTGTCTCACAACATTTCTTTAATAACTCACAGTCCACTTCCGTTTGTTTCAGCTTCGTCCTGTTTGCAGATTAAACAGAAAAAAGAAAATCCGGTCAAGGGATTTTTTTCTCTCTTTGGTAAAATTCATCTCAACCATTTTTCTTTCATTTAACAAAAAAAAAAAAAATGAAATGATTAGATTAGAGGAAGTTAACGAGGAAATACCTGGCTCTTCTGTTCTGGAACCACACTTCTACCTGTCGTGGCCGTAAATTCAACCTATTTGCTAAGGCTTGCTTTTGTTTCTGGTTAAAAAATGTAAAGATGGTTCCATATCAGAAGGTTTCACCTTTAAAGACTAATCCCAAATATAAATACCGATAAATGGAGAAAAAGGAGAGAGTTCGAAAGAAAATTACAGGATTGAGAGTGCTGTGCTCTTTGAAACTGTCTTCTAAAATAAGAGACTGTTCTTTTGTCAATCTAAGTTTTTTCCTCGGACCCTCTTCGTCTTGATCTTCACAAATCTTTGGAGAAACTCGTTCTTCCTCTACTTCTTCAACGCTAGCCTCCCTTTCCCTTTTGACACTGGAATTGGAAAATGATGAAACCGCACTAACTGATGAGGCCTGCTGTCCATGTATATTACAAGATTGATCACCTTTGGCACCAGCATCAACACTAATGGTTTCAAGCTCTGATGGCAAGCCTAAAGTCAGAGAAAAGTGATCAATTTTGGGTGATGATTTATTCTTGAACTCTTCATGATGATCAAACTGAGGAAGATGATTTTGATCATTATTTCTGGTAGTAAAGGTGGAGCCTAGGCCAAGACTAAGTCTGGTGTTGCAAATATTGATATCAAATACCATGGTTTATTGAAAGATATTTGAGGTCAAATTGCAACACGGGGGTGAGATATATAAACAAGGGGGGTGGTTTGGTTGCTGATATCAGTGGAGGAGAATCGAATATATGAAGTTTTTTTATGGAGGGCAGTGGAGGGATAGCCTTATTTGCTTATTAATCAAAGGAAGGAATGAGTAGAGAAAACGAATCTAGACTCTGACATTATGAAAATCACCATCTCCCTTTGTCTTCTTAGGTTGACTAAATAAGAGAACCATATCCTCCCCACCTCCTCTTTCCCCTTTCCCCCTCTCTTGCGCTCTCTGTTGAAGTCTGCATCAAACCAATCTATCTTGTAATAAGATGATGTATGTAGAGAAGATGACATTCGTGGTACGTGGAATCACGTAAAAAAGTGGGTGCACACAAGAACACAAGGGAAGAGAATGGTTCGCCACCTTTACCTTTAGTGTTTACATTTAATACTGGTAATGGAAGAATAGGAGACAATTGAAGTAGGGCATACAACTTTTCCCTTTGCTTGTGAATTATATATGTTTGCAGCAACTTTAGTACACATTCTAGACTTCTTGTCGTTGGTATATCCTGTGCAGTTCCTGTTCCAAAATGTGTAATCCTACTCAAACAAGAAAGTTCCGTTTCATTATATTTTTAACTGAGAAGGGCTAAATTCACACCCCTCATTTTAAATTCACAAACGTTTTAATACTAATCGTAGAAGTTGCATGTTGATACGTTAAAGGTGTGAAATTAAAATGGAGTAGTGTGAATTTAGTCCAATAATCACTACTGATATGTAAATTAGTTATAAGTTGGCTTGAAATTAATTATATGCTTTTACCTTGTGCAATTAATAGGACCCAAATGAATTGGTCTGGCAAATGTCCATCTTTAAGTACTACTAATTAATAGTAAATTATTTGATTTCCGGCATTAATTATTATTATTATTAGTATAAAAATCCAGCTTCATCAGATTGAATTGGATGTGAATCATAGTGACATCCCATCCCATGCATAGGTTGTTATAATTTTCTAACTTTGATTCGAGTAGGTTGCTTCCCGGAGCTATATGTAGCATACCCTACATGCACTATTATAGCTAATTATCTTTATTCAATTATTGATTAAACAAATCAATCGACCGATTCAAGGACCGTGCCCCATTAATAAATCTCTGTTTGAACAAACATGGCGTCTATTGAATAGCAGATTTGTATTGTTCTTATGCGATGAGATTATCCTCCAGGACTGAATCCCACGTAACAGCTGAAGTACCCTAATTCGTTTTTTTTTTTTATTGTTCAGCTCAGGCAACGGCAGCTTTCTAAAGGTTAATTTAATTAGCCACTTTTCATGTACTTCTCCTTTTCTGCTTTAAGTTTTCGGGTACACCAACTGACAGGTTTGGACAGAACCAGTTTACTCTAATCATAAGTTTTAGGGTAAATCCTTTCAATGTATACACTAGTAGATCTACATGCTTGTGACTTTTATAAATTTTAGAATTCAAAATTCGAACTAATATGATATGGTATTCATTTAATCTTGTCAGTGATCAGACTTGTGCGTAAGAAAGATTAATCAATTCATCGAGTTTTACGACTTTATAACCCTTTTTCTTTAAGACCATACTATCTTATTCTTAGGTCGTGTTTGATTGATTACATATATACCAATTTCTACCTATTGAATGCAAGCCAAAAAAGATTTACTAAATATGTATATTTTTAATTAAATAACCTGTAGTTCTACGCTTGATATATCTCAGTTCTTGTAGCCCGCCCACCCTTTCATTAAATCCAAGATCAATTACTTCGCTGAGACGTAAGTAGATCTTGAGATTAAATGCGGTGCAACATTTGTCTTTGTCACATACTCTTTTAACAAAGCATATTTCTGAATGGCAAGTTACAAGAGAACCTGAATTTTCACGAACATCTTTTGCCATGAAGATAATTACCGAATGAGGTATATGCTTAATCTGTCACGGCTTATCCATCACCGACGATTTATTTCCATCCACTAGTTATAATTCAGCATTGATCGGGATAATGCAATCATGGTCATGTCTTGGAGGCTTTTGCAACCATTGATCTATACAGAATTGCAGAATCATATATTTTGTCTTGACAATAATTGTTCTTTTTCAAATGGTTTAACAGTAAAAAAAAAATTGTAAAGAACGCGGACAAGATGAAAAGTAGAAGAGATGAGGTCAGGACATTAGGCCATGAAAAGCTGTCGAGCACCATTAAATTAAGGTAAATAGAGTTATCCAGAGCTTAACTAACAAGTTTGCCTTACGTGGTCAATAGATAGACATTTGACTTCGACAAGAGTGGATAAAATCGAACGTTTGTAAGTGATTTCAGAATAATCAAATACCAAAGCTAATCATCATGCTTGTAATGTAAACCCATCTTTCCTTAATCCCACCTTAGCCAAGCCAAATTAAGGACAATTAATTTAAACAAACAGCAAAAGCAGCAGAAATCTGATTACTCCTTTATAGTAAGTATATATCCCTAACTTCAAAAAGATGTTCTTCTGTAATCTCCTCCTCATAATGCATGCCATTATGTGCATGCAAATTCTTTTCCCATTTATGTTGTGTATGGGCGGTGGGCCTGCGTATACGTGTCAAGCCTCTCTGCTTGACACGTGGACAGCAAATGCTGATGCTGAGAGGACAAGCCTCAGAGCAGCATGTAGAGCCCACCAATGATTTGGCATCATGGGCATTTGATTCTTGAGGAATCAGGAGGACGATTATTGAGCGTACAAGTTGGCAATGATGGGTGGGGATGATGTTGGAGATAAGGTTTCAAATTGTGTTCCGGGCTTTACGGCCAGACGACCACTGCTACTGCTGGTGTGATTTTGTGCTCTTTGTTTGGCTTTTGTGCATCCCACTTTCCGCTTTATACAAGTTAATAATAATAATGCTGTAACTTAGCCTATAGCCAATCGCACCATGCAATGCTAATGTCCCGTTTGGATTGGAGTTTATGGGAGTTTTTTATTTTAAAGAAAATCATAATGCATCGATGCGATGCGATGTATGTGAGATGAAGAAGAGAATTGAAATATACATGTTAAGAAAATATTTCAGAAACTAAAAAATCATACAGTAGCAGCAGTGCCAAACTCCAAGGTTTTTTCTTATTTTTTCTGCCTTACTAATAGCTAAGATGAAAATTGAATATTTTAATGTAACATGAAGTGTCGAGAGATATATTATTAATTCGTGAAGCTTGAATCGGAAATCATTTACTTGAAATAGGGTTTTTCTATTTTGTATGCTTAGAGCTCAGGATAAGTGCACAAAATATAGAGGGTGTGCCCACAATAAATTTTAAACATTATCATTCACCCCTTGAATTGAGAGAGCTTTAGCCAAAAAAAAAAAAATTAAGTTTTAGCAGACAACTAAATACTGGATCCATCTCTTATCCTGAGTAAATAACAGAAGAACCCTTTGAACTAAATATTGAGGCAGCCATTTTTGCAAGCTCTTTAGGTTTTTGAAGGCATTATGCATACAAGTTCTAATTTTTGCTTTGTCGGCATCTTAATTTATATTATTGAGCGTCAATTTATGCACGTGAGTGTATCACGAATCAATAAAAATGACAGCCATTTTCGCAATTTTTCAATGTGAAAGTTTATACCTTAATCACCATGGATTTAACTCCACTGACTAGATGTAAAGAAAGAATTAGTGAAACAAATTTCTCTCCACAATCATAGAAATGCTGAATGTAAGACTCACAAAAGATGGAATAAGCTCCATCTAGACAAAAAATGTCTAGTCAGAGCTACATTCTATCTGATATGAGAAATGAGATACCTTCCTTGATTTCATTATTATTTCCAAGAGAAAGCATCAGCAAGACACCGACTTTGTGAAAAAGTAAAACCTACTCTACCCCACAGAGATTGTCTTCCACTCTATGGAGACATCATAACACAAATTTAAAAAAGTTGAACTCCATGAAAGTTCGTGGGAAATTCATGAATAAACCTCCTCGTGATTGAGTGTCAGCTCACTCTTCATTGAAAGGCTAAAAAAATAGTGATTAATTATTTAAGTGGATTTGGCCCACAACCAATACGGATGAGAAAAATCAGTGACAATCATATCCTCACTAAGTATGGTGTAATGTAATATATGTAGCAAGCTTAGGGTGACATGTCCTGTTGGTCCTGGAGAGAGCAAAGGGTTATTGTGCTGCTGCCAAATCGGGTGGTTTAGTGTCTCGAAGATATGGCACAGGGGCCCCAACCTTCCATAAACCCCATATTTGATTGCTGGAACTTGGAATTCGGAAGCCAGAAACTACATGTCCTGTGGGATGATACGTGCATGATAGCAGTCTTGTATGGGTAAAGCATGCTTCAACCCTTTTGGTTTCACCCCTTAGTCCGAAGATCAAAGATACAAGGAAGAAGAAAGAAATTAAAGCAAAAGGTTTCGGGACCATATTTTGATGTGAATATTTGGATATTGATATGTTTGGAGTTAGGGCAGCAGGTACGACTATGGTTTCATGACCTAGTTATGTGCGATATGTATGTAGATGATGTATGTATAACACTGAACCAGAAGACACAAGACAGCCATACCTACCTCAAGTCCGATATATTCCTTTGGCCTGTTCTGTCTTTATGTGTATCTCTGGATCTGATAATTATGTACGTACGTCTAGAAGCTTTGCTCTAAAGCAAAAGGGATTAATGTATGCAGTGTGAAGTGTGAACGCAGCTTGAGGATACATTACTGAGGAATGAAGAATATGTTTGCTTTAGCTACTAGACAATGCGCCTTTTTGATTTTGACCTCCTCATGATATGATTTGATGATGATAAAGAAATCAGCCACACTCGGTTAATCAGACTGACTTCAGAGAATCATTCGGCACACAAGTGGATTCGAGCCACATATCTATATGATTGGAAAATCACGAGTATCTAGAATCTTTGATGTTCCACGTTTCAAGTTAAGCAGACATTGTGAGAGGATCCAGAATACTGTATCAGCTCTTGGCATCTTTTAGATTCTTGAGAAAAATTGAACCGTCTACACCTGCACTTATCAACTCGCAACTTGAAATTCGGTTGATTGAATGCAATATACTATTACAAAGTCAAACTTTCATAAAGAATTTTGCGAAAGATAGATGCACCACTAATCCACCTCTTGATTGAGCATGCATGCAATTGCAGCCGTTTATGATTTCTTAAACATCTAGAGACATGTATTAAAAGTTTTTCTTAAGGTACTTAATTTCCTGTTTCATGAGTTTTTGATGTGCCGGCTAGCTTGTGGAATAATTGATGTCATTTCAGTGTATATATAGAAGTAACTTTTTATACACTGACAGTGTAGTGTAGTGATCTTTTTACAATGACAGTTATGAATGTATGTCAACG